CTGGAGGTCCAGCATGACGTGTGTGTGAAAGGGGAAGATTTCCGCCATCCTGGGCTTTGTGCCTCCTTGCTGTACCTCAGAACCCTGTGGAGGCCTGTGGTTTTGTCCTTATGGGCCTTGGGGAGGTATTTGTCCTTTCTAGCGCTTGATGATTGTTGAGTTTGAAATACCAAAGAGGCCCAAGTTTTGTTTTTTTCTGTTGTTTGTGTGTTAGTCTGCTTTGGCCTCCCGAGCAGCATCCAGGGCCACTTCTAGCAGTGCTCAGCCAGCTGGGCTGGACAGTTCAGTGTAGTTGCTGCCTGGGCCGTGTGGTATCTGAGATCGAGTTCAGCCTTATAGGCACCCTTGCCCCTGTGCTATCTCCCTAGCCCTCCAAAGTTAATTTTTTTCTGTATTTAAATAAATGTTCTTCAAACTGTCAAAAAATCTTTTTTTTTTTTTTTGCAACCTACACAAAGTAAGCACCGCAGCCAGGAGTGTGAGCAAACTCCAGGGATGCAGCCACTTTTCATGCAGTGATAGGACAGTGGGTAGGGCACTTGCCTTGCACACAATCAATCTGGGTTCGATCCCTGGCTCCCCCTGTGGTCCCCATGTGATCGCCTTAGACTGCCAGGAGTGATCTCTGAGTGCAGAGCCAGGAGTCAGCCCTGAGCACAGCCAGGTGTGGTCACAAGATGGAAACCAAGTGAGGGGAGTTGAAAGAAATAGGCCTTGTGGAGGGGTTCTGGGACAGTGAAGCCACCCAACACCAACCTGGGACATTAGCAAGTGGAAGGCGGCGAGAGCCGGACACTTGGGTTGCTAGGGACATGGGTCACTGGCCTTGTACTTTGGTTGTTGTCTTAATAATTGCTCAGAAATTGCATTCTAACACATCCCCCCATTCCCCCCCCCCCAATTTTATGGTTATCAAGGGCTTATTCCTGGCTCTGTGCTCAGAAGTGACCCTAGCAATGCTTGGGGGACTGTACATGGTGCCAAGGATCAAACTGGATTCGGCCACACTCAAGGAAAACTCCTTAGCCCTTTTATTTTGTCTCCAGCTCCTTTATTTGACTGCTTCCCTCCTTCCCTTTCCTTTTTTTCCTTCCTTCCTTCCTTCCTTCCCTCCTTCCTTCCTTCCTTCCTTTTTCCCTATTTTTTTTGGCTGTCTGGCAGTGTTCAGGGATTATTCCTGGCTCTGCTCTCAGGGATCACTCCTGGTGGGGCTCTGGGGGACCATATGAGATGCTGGGGATCAAACCTGGGCCGACTGTGTACAAGGCAAATGTCCTACCTGCTGTACTATCGCTTGCTCTGATCCCCTGTGTTTGACTTTCTGTAACAGACATACTTGTGAAATCTTCCTTGGGAGGAAGTTAGTTCCACTCTTACCTTTCCTCAGGATCACTCACTCACCTCCTCTTCCCACAGTGTCTGTACTCTCCTCTCGCCATCCTGAGTCAGCAAACCCTCTCTGGTCTGAGGCAGTGGACCTCGGTGCTGGAGGTAGCAAGAAGCTGGAATTTTGTTCCTCCCACCCCTCCCACTGGGGGATGGTCTTGGTTGTAGCAACTGTATGGATTTACTGTGGAATGGGGATTAGGCAGAATTCAGTGGTAGAAGCAGGAGGCCAGGGATATATTGCTCAACAATCTAGGGTGGATATGTCACCACTCCCCCAGTGCAGAATTACTACCCCCCAGTCAAGATGCTAGGGATCAGGGAGGTAGCTCCAAGGGCTGGAGTGCATGAATGTTTTTTTTCTTTTTGGGTCACACCCAGCGATGCACAGGGGTTACTCCTGGCTCTGCACTCAGGAATTATTCCTGGCAGTGCTCAGGGATCATATGGGATACCAGGGATCGAACCCAGGTTGGCCGTGTGCAAGGCAAATGCCCTACCCGTTGTACTATTATTCCAGCCCAGGAGTGCATGGATTTGTTTTTTGTTTTGTTTGTTTTTTCTTTTTGGGTCACACCAAGCAATGCTCCGGGGTTACTCCTGGCTTTGCACTCAGGAATTACTCCTGGCAGTGCTTGGGGGACCATATGGGACACCAGGGATCGAACACAGGTCGGCTGCATGCAAGGCAGACACCCTATGCGCTGTGCTATCGCTCCGGTCCCAGGAGTGCATGGATTTGATCCCCAGAACTACAGTGTCTTCTGAGTGTCACTGGGAGCAGCCTCCAAGCACTACTGGGGATGGCCCCAAATAAAAGACAAACCTAAATCAAATCAGCTGTCCCAAGGTTGCGGAACTCTGTTGGGTGGTACCTTTGCCATGACACTTCATAAAGACAATTGTCCTTGTCAACTGGGTGGCTTTCCCACCTAGACCATCAGCTCCTTGAGGAGAGGTGCTAGGTAGAACTTGAGTGGCTGCCCTATAGTTGACTGTTTTTTTTTTTTGTGCCACACTCCACAGTGCTCAAGGGCTATGGATAGCTCTGTGTTCAAGGGACACTCCCAGCAGTGCTCAGAGACTTTGTGATACTGGGGATCAAACCCAGGTCTCCTGCATGTGAGGTGTGCACTCAGCCATGTGTGCTATCTCCCGCCCTCTGATTTTTTTGTTGTTTTTGTTGGTGGTGGTGGTGCTGAGGCTCAAACCCAGTCATGCATTTAGCTCCTGTGCAGCTGCACCCTCCACCCCCTAGCTGATCCTATTGTGTTTTGGGGCAGGGGAATTCATATTCAGCAGTGCTTAGGGTCAGCTCAGGGGTTTCTCCTGGTGGTGCTTGGGCAACTATATGCTGTGCTAGGAAACAAACTGAGGTCCAAGTGTCTTAATCTCGGTATTATCTCCCCATCCTCACCTCCAGTTGACGCTTTGTTTTTGCAGGGGCCATACCCAGTGATGCTCAGAGGTTACTCCTGACTTTGTACTCAGGAATTGCTCCTGGCTATGCTCATATGGGATGCCAGGGATTGAACCCGTTGGCCATGTGCAAGGTGAATGCTGTGTACCCACTGTACTATCGCTCCAGCCCCCTAGTTGACTCTTGTTTTTTTTGCTTTTTTGGGTCACACCCGGCAATGCTCAGGGACTACTCCTGGCTCTGCATTCAGGAATTACTTCTGGCGGTGCTCAGGGGACCGTATGGGATACTGGGGTTGGCCGCATGTAAGGAAAATGCCCTCCCCACTGTACTATCACTCCGCCTCCCTCCCCCAGTTGACTCTTAGCAGGGATTAAAGAAAGATAATAAAATACATCCAGATTCATACTTCGGGAAATCATGCTGCTTGCTTTCTCCATGGTCCCATACCTTTGGGCACAGCAAACAGTCATTGGAAAAGCATTTTTTTTCATCCAACATTTAATAAAGTCTTTTTTTTTTTTTTTTTGCTCTTTTGGGTCACACCTGGCGATGCACAGGGGTTACTCCTGGCGGTGCTCTCAGGGGACCATATGGGATGCTGGGAATCGAACCTGGGTTGGCCGCGTGAAGGGCAAACTCCCTACCCACTGTGCTGTCTTTACAGCCCCGAACATTTAATAAAGTATTTATTAAGCACTTGCCATCTTCCCTGTGCTAATCGACTTTTTAGGACAGATATTACTGTCATGATGGAGACCAAGTCTCTGCGTAAGTAAAATTCATTCATCAAAAGGAAGACAATAAGTAAGGAGATAAGATATTTCAGACAGTAATAAACATTAGGGAGAAAGTAGCATTGTAGGGGTGGGAATTTATCCATAGAGCCCAGCCTTACAGGTGTGAGACCCTGAGTTTGATCCCTGGCACTTCCAAAGAGAAAAGATAGAGGTGTACATAGGGAATAATACAGCAAGACTGTTTATTCTGGACTGGGGTAGTAGGTGGCATCTGACCATGTAAGGAATGTGAGCCATCCCTGACTTTATCCAGGCCCAGATAAAGAGAGATCCTGGCCTAGACAAGTCCCTGAGGCTGGAGCGGGATGGCCATTCACCTTTCCCCCACCAATGATATGGGGGATGAGCCTGAGTCTCACACATGCGTGGCCAGTGCTCACCACAGAGCTAGAGGACTGGTAGCTGGTCACGGTCATGGCCCTCCCGTTGTTCATCGATTTTCTCGAGTGGGCCCAGTAACGTCTCCATTGTGAGACTTGTTGTTACTGTGTTTGGCATATTGACTACGTCACGGGTAGCTTGTAGCTTGCCAGGCTTTGCCATGCGGGCAACATACTCTCAGTAGCTTGCTGGGCTCTCTGAGAGGGGCGGAGGAATCGAACCTGGCTCGGCCGGCCGGCTGCGCACAAGGCAAACGCCCTACCACTGTGCTATCCCTCCAGCCTACCGGTAGCTGATGGACATTTAATAAAGAGCAGAGGGAGGCCCTGTCATTTATGCAAGTAAACATTTGGCTTTTATTCTAAACACAATCGGAAACCTGATTTATTTTGTTTAAAAGATCAGCGTGGCTTCTGTGGGAGACTGAATGAAGCATCATGATTCAAAGTATCAAGTACTTGGCATAAAAGGGGTTAGAAAAATATCTATAACAGGGGACGTGCATGCACCCAGCCCTGCCCAGAGTGATCGCCGATCACAGAGGCAGGAGTAAGCACTGAGCACTGTTGGGTGTGGCCCAAAGCCAATTTGGGCGGGGGACACACTTGGTAGTGCTCTGGGCTTACTCCTGCCTCTGTGCTCGGGGATCACAGAACCCTGGCAGGTTCAGGGGACTGTGTGGGACTCTGGGTATTGAATCCAGGTACAAGACAAACGCCCTGCCCTCTGAACTATCGCTCTGCCCCCTCCAAAAAAAAAAACCACAATTTTTTAAGAGAAAAAAATATATAACAACAATTATCTGTCTTCACCCTGGGAGCACTGCCTGGTGCTACTTAAGTGCGTTAGTTTTGGTCCCATCCTTACTGAAGTGCATTAGTTTGGTCCCCTGGCGGCCTCTAGTTAAAGAAAAACGCGCCCAGATCCACGAGGGGGCGCTGTAGGCTCAGGGTCGTCAGAGTGCCGCGCCGGGCGCTCTTTGGTTCTTCCGGGAGCCGCCGGGATGCCTGGAGTCTTCCTCTCTATCCGCCCGTCTCTGTGGTCTCCGGGCGGGGCCCCGCCCCCGGGGCCCGCTGCGCGCTGCTCCCGCGCTGTCTGGACTCTGCCCCCAGCGACTTGGGGGCGCGCTGCGGGCCCCAGTGTCCAGCAGGTCACGGGCCATGGCAGTGCCGCGGTCCGCGCCCCGGGCTGGTGCCAGGTGAGCAGTTGAGACTGGGGAGAGGGCCGGACTCGGGGTGTTCCCGGGGCGGTGTGGGAAAGGCTCCCCCTTGCACCCCGTCCCTGCGGGAAGGGGGTCCCCAGGGGCGCCCCAGCAGGGTCCTCAGCTGCCCCAGGATTCACGGGAACTCTTGCCATCTCCTGTGCTCTGACTGTGGGTATCCTGGGTTTTTTTTATTACTATTTTGGTTTGGCTTTAGAAACCTTAATTGCACAGTTTCTGGTTAATAATCCCCTAAACTTCTTAGCCCACTGTGGGCGCATGTAAGACGCTTGTTTTTTCATTTATCTCCTTCCTGTTCCCAGTCTCACTGCACTGCCCTTCTCAGACACCCGCCCTGCTGTGCTAAGTGGGCGTCTTGATCGCCCACTGGCCTAAGCTTTTTGCTGTTCCCTTGAAATGTAGAATGCTTTGGAACTCCAACAAGTGATAACCCAGGAGTTTCCCTACCACCATGCACATACCTTTTTTTACTCAGTACTGTTTTGTTTGTTTTTGTGGTCCCAGGGATGGAGCATAGGGCCTGACCCATGTAAGGCTGCTGTGCTGCACCCCGACCCTGTGTGGTGTTTGGGGGAGCAGCCCTGTAGTAATTACCTGTCTTCCCCTTGGGAGCACTGCCTGGTGCTACTTAAGTGCATTAGACCCATGGACTTCATCTGGGGTGCCCGTGGTGGGTATAAAAAGATCCAAGGACCCTGCTTTACACCCCATTTTTCCTGCGAATTCCCCTTGAGAGGGACATCCAGATTGTTCCCTATTCCAAAAACATTTTTGGGGGGCTGGAGCAATAGTACAGAGGGTAGGGCGTTTGCCCTGCACGCGGCTGAACTGGATTCAGCCCTCTGCATCCCATACAGCCTCCAAAGTACCGCCAGGAGTAATTGTTGAGTGCAGAGCCAGGAATAACCTCTGAGCATTGCTGGGTGTGCCCCCCAGAATTAATAAATAACTTAATTATTTTTTACTCTTTTGATCCTATGATTTTATTTTCTTCTAGTTTGGGGGCCACAGCCTGCTGTACTCTGGGGCGTACTCCTAGCTCTGTGCTCAAAGATCACTCCTTGCAGCTCATATGCTGGCCAGCGATTGAGACTGAGCCTGAGTCAGCCATGTGCAAGGGAAGAGCTTTAACCCCATTTTTATTTGTTTAAATAAATGTGTTTTAGTTTTGGGGCCACACATAGCAATGCTCAGGTATTACTCCTGGCTCAGCACTCAGGAATTACTCCTGGAGGTATTCAGGGGCCCGTAAAGGATTCTGGGATTGAACCTGGGCCAGCCACGTGCAAGACAAGCACCCTACCAGTACCCTACCCGCTGTACTATCTCTCCAGCCCCCACTTCCAACATTTTGTTTATTGGCTTGCTGCATTTCCTGGGTAAATGATACATCATATGCCAATAATGACCTTGAATCCTTTTCCTGATTTCTTTTGCTTTTTGCTTTACACAGGATCTTACAAATCCTTGATAAGGTGAAGTTACTTATCTTGTTTGTGACCATAAAGAAGATGCAACTAAAGTTTCTTCAGTGACTATACTTTTGGTTTCAGTTTTTTGTTTATTTTTGGTTTTGGGCCGCACCAGCAGGCAATGCTCTGGGGTGACTCCTGGTTCTGCACTCAGGAATTACTCCTGGGAGACCATATGGAATGCTGGAAATTAAACTGGTCAGCTGTGTGCAAGGCCTTACCCTCTGTACTATCTCTTCAGCCGCTGGTTTCAGTTTTGTTGTTTGGTTTTTTTGGGGGGAGGGGTCATACCCAGTGATGCTCAGGTGTGATTCTTGGCTCTGCACCTAGCAATTATTCCTGGAGGTGCTCAGGGGACCATATGGGATACCGGGGCTTGAATCCGGGTTGGCTGTTTGCAAGGCCAATGCCCTACCTGCTGCACTATCTCTCCAGCCCCAGCTTGATTTTAGTTTGGGGGTTTTGGTTCTTGGGTTATGTCTAGCAATGCTCTGGGTCTACTCAGTGCTCAGAGGATTGAACTTCAGCCTCCTGTAGGCAAAGCATACATTCCAGCTCACTGAGCTATCTGCCCAGCTCTGTCACTATGTTGGTTTTTTTTTGTTGTTGTTTGTTTGTTTGTTTGTTTTGTTTTTTGCTATTTTGGGTCACACCTGGCAGTGGTGAGAGGTTACACCTGGCTCTGCACTCAGGAATTACTCCTGGCGGTGCTCAGGGGACCATGTGGGATGCTGGGGATTGAACCCGGGTTGGCTGCACGCAAGGCAAACGCCCTGCCCACTGTACTATTGCTCCAGCCCCTGTCACTTATGTTTTTGCTAGGTTGATAAATAATCTTTTGTTAGATTAGCGAATAACCTTTCACAGCATTATCAGGTTAAAGAATTTCCTTTCCTAAGCCCTGCTCCGTCCCACCTGCTGCATTCATAAGCCATTCCTTCTCAGGTCCTAGGCCCCCAGAACACCAGAACAGTGTGGCTAAGTGTGGTAACTGTTTGCTCAGATCCGCCTGCCTTCTTAGGTTTCTCCCGGCTCTTCCCGCTTTTCTTCTGCAGGCCCCGGTTGGATCTGCAGTTTCTCCAGCGGTTCCTGCAGATTCAGAGGGTCTTGTTTCCCTCTTGGTCATCCCAGACTGCCTTGATGTTCCTGACCCTTTTGTGTGTGGCCCTGCTGGGTGAGTTGCAGGCACCCTGGGGTGGGGCCTTCCCTTTCCTGGGGAGTAATGATGCAGCAGGAACTCAGGAGGGACCGCCCCTTGGATTCCTTACCCTCATCACTCATTCCCGACTCCTCTCCCTCCCACAGAACAACTGGTGGTCTACCAGGTGGGCCTGATCCCCAGCCAGTACTACGGGGTCCTGGGAAGCAAAGACCTGGCAGGGTTTAAGAGCCTGACGCTCCTGGCCGTCTTGCTCATCGTCCTCAACTCCATGGTACTCTCTGCTCCCTGACTCGCTTCCCCTCTAGCCCAGTGTGAAGGAAGCACCCATGGGACTCCACCACCAGGAAGCGGGAACTGCACTGGGGGTGGAGGTGGTGGTGGTGGGGGAGAATGGAAGTCCCTGTTTTCCAGGAACTGGCAGTCAATGCTGTGAGCAGGCCTTTGGTCTTGCTGTTGGCAAGTCCTTGCGGGCCACCACGAGGATCGGGTTCATTAAGTAGAAGCCAGCATTGTCTCCTCCATTCCCAGAACTGTTTTGCGGGGATCAGAGAACCTTGGTGCTGGCAGAGCAGACAGGAGCAGGGCCAGACCGTGCCACCTCCTGCCTGCTGCTTTCTTACTCCTCTCCTTCCCTGCTTGCTCCCCGAGTCTCTGCTCTTTCTCCACACTCTGCCCTCTCCCCATTTCTTCGCGTGGCTGGAGCGCTGGGACTTCCGGGGGCTTCTAGAGAGGCTCTCAGCCCACATTGCCCCTCCCGGGCTGAACGGCTGTTCTGCCCAGGTCTGAGGGGAAGCCACTTCTCCTTGCACTGTGGCACTTCTGATGGGTTTTCTCCCTCCCTCCCTCTCTTTCCTTTACCACACCTGGCCATGCTCCTGCCTCTGAACTCAGGGATCACTCCTGGGACAAGCTTGGGAGACTGTATAGGGTGCCAGATACTGAACCTGGGTCAGCCGCATGCCAGGCTGATGCCTTACCTGCTGTACTATCACTCCAAATCCTGGTAGGTTTTTCAAGCACCTGATGTGTGCCGAACCTACTCCAAAGTTGGGAGACAAAAAAATGTACAGGCTTGTATTCAGTCAAGAAAGAAACACTTTTTTTTTTTTTAAATTGTGGGGCCAGAGAAATAATACAGTGGGTAAGGCAATTGCCTTGCTTGAGGCAAACCTGGGTTCAATCCTAGGTACCACATATAGCCCCCCTCAAGGCCACCAGGAGTGATCCCTAAGCTCAGAGCCAGGAGTAAGCCCTGAGCACTTCCGGGTGTGATCCCCCTGAAAAAAAAAAAAAGAACAAAACCCAAAAGCTTCCTATATGGTATGAGGAAGAGTCATCCCATAACTTGATCCCTTATTCTGTATTTCTGTGGTGATGGGGATCAAACCCAGGGCCTCCCACTTGCAACATGCATAGCTCTACACGCAGGACCCCCCCTCCCCCACGTGATGCTCTAAACAGGCGGAGGTGCTGAGTGGACGGAGGGCGCTGGGTCCCTGCAACCCCAGTGTCCCGTGACTGAGACCTGAGCAGGAAACAGACCCCGCCCACCCACCCCCCATTTCCGTGTCCTTGCATCCCCACTGCACAGCTGAAGAGCTTTGACCAGTTCACCTGCAACCTGCTGTACGTGAGCTGGAGGAAGGACCTCACCGAGCACCTCCACCGCCTCTACTTCCGGGGCCGCGTCTACTACACCCTCAACGTCCTGCGGGATGACATCGATAACCCGTAGGTGCTCCCGCACACCCGCACCTGCGCAGCCCTCCCTCGAGAACAGACCCTGCAGGGGCTGCTCTGTGGGGCAGTTGCCCATCGCTGGGAGGAGGGGCCTGTGTGAGGACTCCCAGCCCCAGCAGGCAGCCAACACATGAGCGCTGTGTCCTTTCTTTCCCCATTTTGGGTGCGGGGCTTCCAAATCAGGCTCCCTTTAGAGAAAATGACCTCATTTAGAAAATGCTGGGGGCTGGAGCGATAGCACGCACAGTGGGTAGGGTGTTTGCCTTGCACGTGACCGACCCAGGTTCGATTCCCAGCATCCTATATGGTCCTCTGAGCACTGCCAGGAGTAATTCCTGAATGCATGAGCCAGGAGTAACCCCTGTGCATCACCGGGTGTGACCCCCCCCCAAAAAAAAAAGAAAATGCTGGGGGTGGTGGGGCCATAGTGTAGCGGGGAGGGAATTTGCTTTGTATGTGGCTAACCTGGGCTCAAGCTCCGGCATCCCATACAGTCCCTGAGCAGCACCAGGAGTGATTTCCTGAGTGCAGAGCCAGAAGTCACCCCTGAGCAATGCTAGGTGACGCAAAAACTTGCTTGGATTTTTAGCCATTGTAAAAAAAAAAAAAACCATGACTGTGCTTGTGGGTGGAAGAGAAGCCCCAATGGGCTGAACACATGCTTGCCTGCGGGGGCTCAGGTTCCCCTCCCAGCATCACACAGCCACCTGAGAGCCACTGAGCAACACCTCCCCTCAAAACAAGAAGCCCAGGTGACAGATCAGCCGAGGAGTCTGTCCCCGCCTAGTTTAATGCCACTGAGTACCCAGGCCCTGCTCTGCAGGGGCGTTTGTGCAGGAACCTGCATGGTGCCTCTCTGCCAGTGAGTGGTCCTGTGTCTCTCCAGAGGACACTGCCCCCCCAGAGTGTGGGCCACTGGCCCGATTTCATCTCAGGACACAGGAGTTCGTGTGGCCTGGGGCTGGCGGTGTGCAGACTCATGCCCCAGTGCTCTATTCCCTCCTTCCGGAAAGACCTTTTCTCTCCTCAAGCTCAGTTTATTTTTGGGAGGTTCTTGGGAGGCTGCTTTGGTTTTGTCTAATTTGGTGTATGCGGGGGGCAACAGTGGGGGAGACTCCTAGGAAGTGATCAGGGGGCCCAGGAACCATCTCTGGAATCAGACCTGAGGATGTCACCTGCTGCTCGGGCTGGATTTCTCTGGCCACCCCCGCTGTGCTGTGGGGACCCTGTGTGCTGCTGGGGGTGGAATGTGCTCGGGCTCCTCGGTTGTCTCTAGCCCCTGTTTGGTTTTGTCTTGGTTCGGTTTGATTTAGGGGGGAGGCTGACCTCACCTGACTCTAATCAGGGGCTTACTTCTGGCTCGGTGCTCAGGGATCACTCCTGGCAGTGCTCAAGGGGACCATACAGGGGACAAGTCCAGGTCAGCCACCACATACCAGGCCAGTGCCATAACCCTCGTCCCTCGTGTTGCCCCCTTCCCCAGGGTCAGTTCCTCCGCCCCTCTCGGAGAGCCCAGCAAGCCACTGATAGTATCTCGCCCACACGACAAAGCCTGGCAAGCTCCCCGTGGCATATTGAATATGCCAAACACAGTAACAAGTCTCACCATGGAGACGTTACTGGGCACACTCGAGCAAATCAGTGAACAACAGGAGGACAGTACTACAGTGCTGCCCCGTAGGTTCTGGGCACCAGAGGCAGTAGCTGAGCCCCGGGACCTCCATGGCCCCAGAAAGGGCGAGAATCCTTGTCTGATCTCGTCTTGCTGACCCCGCTGAAAGGCAGGGTCGCGGAGTAAGGAATTCTGAGGGTCCCACTCTGCCTCTCCGCCTCAGGGACCAGCGCATCAGCCAGGATGTAGAGCGGTTCTGCCGGCAGCTGAGCAGCGTGGCCAGCAAGCTGCTCATCTCCCCCTTCACCCTGGTCTACTACACCTACCAGTGCTTCCAGAGGTAACCCGCCTCCCTGCATCCTGCCCCAGGCCTCGCGGGGTCAGCATTCCCAGCACCAGCCTTCCCTCCTGCCACCTGTTCCCCCAGGAAGCCCTCCTCAGCCCTTGTCCTCCCTCTACCACGCTGTGGTCCCTTGTAGAGGGATCCTGGGGTCCCCGCAGCTTAGTGGGGGTACCTCACCCCACCCAGGCACTGGCGGGGCTGAGGTAGGTGGGGCTGCCCCCCCTCCCAGGGCAGAGGCGGGGCGTGTGTTGGCCACGCCCTCCGTGTCTTTCAGCACCGGCTGGCTGGGGCCTGTGAGTATCTTCGGCTATTTCATCCTGGGAACCATCGTGAACAAAATGTTGATGGGACCCATCGTGGCCAAGCTGGTCCAGCAGGAGAAGCTGGAGGGGGATTTCCGGTGCGTCCGTCGCTTGAGATTCCCAGGCAGGGTCTCCCAGCTGGGGCACCTGCAAGTCTGGCTGCTTCCGCAAAGACAGTGATGGCACTGCAGGGAGAACGCTTGCCTTGCACAGGGATGACTTGGGTTTGATCTCCCGCACCCCACATGGTCCCCAGAACCCCACCAGGAGTGATCTCTGAGCACAGAGTCAGGAGTCAACCCTGAGCACTGCTGGCTATGGCTCCAAAACAGACCAAACAAAAAAGACTGATTCAAATCCCACCTGTGCGGGCACCAGCCCTTGGCCCCAGGACAGTCTGACCTCTCTGCCGTGGCAACTCTGAAGGGTCCTTGTGGCCAACGGGAGAGCTGTAAGGTGGCCCCTCATCAGCATCATCCTGGCCTTCCCCATGCTCTGGTCCACGCACTGCCTTGCGGGGGACCATGCCCCGTGCCCTGCCCTCCTCTTGGGGAGGTGGAGGCAGGAGTTTGCTGGTTCTCCCTGGGAAGGGGTGGGCAGGCCCAGCTCCAGGCCCCACCAGGAGGCCTCCCTGACCCGAGGCTCAGAAGGGCCTGCACTGCTCACACCCACGCGCAGTTCTCCTGGGCCCACACAGGTTCAAGCACATGCAGATCCGCGTGAATGCCGAGCCTGCTGCATTCTACAGGTGAGCAGGGAGTGCGGGTTCCTCCCCTCAGCTCTCCTCACCCACTGCTCTCGTTCTCATCTTTCTCATCCTTGGCCCAGGGCCTTGCTGTCCAGAGGGGCAGACAGGACAGTCTCCCAGGATGAAATGAGCAAATGCCTCGTTCTTCACTGAGAACTGTAGGGCATGGCCTCTGCCTCTGGTTTTTGCCTGGAAGTGGACATCTTCCCCCTGCAGGGTCCAAGGCTTCCCCTGTCTCTAGCAGGAGGGGACGGAGCCCCCAGGAAATCAGGGGCCCTCACCCCACTGAGGCCAAGCACCAGGGCCCTTACAGCAGCGTTGTGGAATCGCATTTCTTGCCTCAGTGGAAACACAGTTTCCACTGCTGCTCCTTCAAGGCCTGTGTTTGGACTAGAGGTTTAAAGGGTGGGAGCCCGTCCTGGGCCTCATGCTGGGGTAGGGAGCGGGGAGTCCGGGCTTCTGGAAGCCTTAGTCTCAGTCTCTGCAGCAGTTGGTAGCTGCCACCACTTGGGGGTGCCAGTAGCCCTGGGAATCTCGGCTTGGAGTTAAGCTGTGTCGGGGACAGAGTTGGCCTAGAGCAGTTCTGTTCAGGAAGCTCTGGGCATTAGCAGTTAGTTTGTGGAGATCCAGATGGATTTCCCCTGGGATCTCTCTGACCACTCTGCAAAATCGGACATGTCCCTCCCGGTTCTGTCTTCCTCTACTTTTTTTTTTTTGGCCTAGTTATATTCCTGCAGTGGTCACACACCATAGCCCTACACTCTCTCTCTCTCTCTCTCTCTCTCTCTCTCTCTCTCTCTTTCCTTGCTGACACCTTTCCTGCTCCAGGCAGAGGCTGTAGTGTACCCGCCCAGCTCTGGGTGGGGAGCACCCTGGGGCCTGAGAGAGTGTAGTGAGTAGGGCTCTTGCCTTGCTTGTGGCAGACCTCAGCTCATCCCAGGAGGCCCATATGGTCCTCTGAGCCCTGCCAGGAATGATCCCCATGCTCAGAACCAGGAGTGAACCCTTAGCACAGCCAGACTTACCCCCAAATAAAAACAAATAGGAGCACTCCCCACCAGAGACCATTTCACGCTCTGTAGCCGTCACTTAGCACAGAGTCAGCCAGAGGCGCTTACTCTCCAGGTGTCTACTAATAGGTGCTGTGGGCAGAGGGTCCTCCCGGGTCCTGGTGCTTGTATTCAGAAATTCTGACTCTAACTTGTAGTGCAGGTGGGACTGGCTCCTTTGTACGGGTGAGGAAGTGGATGTTCAGGTTTTTTGTTTCTGGGCCAACCCCAGCAGCGCTCAGAGCTTACTCCTGGCTCTGCACTCAGGGATCACTCCTGGCGCTGCTCAGGGGATAATATGGGGTACCTGGAATCGAACCTGGGTTGGCAAACACCCTCCCCGCTCTACTATTGCCCCAGCACCTGATGTTTTAAGGTTTAAGGACATCAGCGCCTCCCCTCAGGGTTGTAACCAGCCAGGTTATCCTGGTCAGCCGGGTCATGTTCGTTCAACAGTAAATTGGATGAACAAAACAGTGTACGGGTGCTCTGGGCAGAAAGGATCCTGGTGGGGCTGGAGTGATAGCACAGCGAGTAGGACGTTTGCCTTGCGGCAGGCCCAGGTTCAATTCCCAGCATCCCATATAGTTCCTGAGCACCGCCAGGAATAATTCCTGAGTGCATGAGCCAAGGAGTAACCCCTGTGCGTCGCCGGGTGTGACCCAAAAAGTTAAAAAAAAAAAAAAAGAAAAGAAAGGATCCTGGAGTCATTTTGATGGACTAGGCCCCCAAACAATATAATCAGTTTGGTCGGGCTAGAGAGAGAATACAGCTACAGCAGGGAAGGTGCTGGCCTTGCATGTGGCCAACCTGGGTTCAATCCCGGGCACCACTTACGGTCTCCTGGGCCCTCCAGGATTGATTCGTGCACCTCTGCAGGTATGTTCGAGCCTGCAGGCTCGTGTGTGTGTGCGCGCGTGCGGAGGCATGTCTATTATGAGAGGCCCAGTGTTCTTCAGGCTTGCAGGTGTGTGTGTGCATGCTTAGAGGTGTGTCCGTTGATGACAGGCCCAGGGTTCCACAGGCCTCCCGCAGTGCCGGTCTTTCTTGCAGAGCCGGGCACGTGGAGCACATGAGGACCAACCGCAGGCTGCAGACGCTGCTGCAGACCCAGAGGCAGCTGATGACCAAGGAGCTCTGGCTGTACAGTAGGTGGTGGGAGCCCGGCCAACAGAGTCCCCTGCCCTCCCCACATCTCCCTATGCCGCCCAGCGTGCTCTGCTGAGGGCGTGAGTCAGAGGCAGCCCTTGTGCAGAGGGTCCTGGGGAGACCACCCTGCCACTCCCTCAGAGCACGGGCATGGCTCGGGGCCTCAGAGCCAGGTTCCCCCACAGTTGGCATCAACACCTTCGACTACCTGGGCAGCATCCTGAGTTACGTGGTGATCGCCATCCCCATTTTCAGTGGTGTCTACGGAGACCTGAGCCCCACCCAGCTCAGCACCCTGGTCAGCAAGGTGAGCTGCCCTCTCTTCAAGACGCCCTCCTGCCCCGCTCCCTGTCCGTCCCCCCAGGAGGGGAATCCACACTTCCTGTTCTCATCTCCCCCCGCCCCCTGCATCCAGAACGCCTTTGTGTGCATCTACCTCATCAGCTGCTTCACCCAGCTCATCGACCTGTCCACCACGCTCTCAGACGTGGCCGGGTACACACACAGGTGAGGCTGCGGGCCGTGGGCTGCGGACCTAGGGCAGGTACCCGCTTGAAAATGGGAAAACCGCTCACCCTGCATGAACGGGAACCAGCGCTCCCCACACGCCTGGCACAGAGGACTGTGAGGGGCGCTTTGTTTCCCCTGCCCAAGTCCCCCTCAGCCTTTACCCCTCCTGCGCAGGATCGGGGAGCTCCAGGAGACCCTGCTGGCCATGTCGCATAAATCGCAGGATGACGAGATCCCGGATGAAAGCGAGTGGGACTTTGATGGGTAAGCCCAGCGGGCAGGGCTGCCAAGTGGGCACAGGGCCGAGAACCTGCACAGCCCAGAGCCTGCCCTCCCGGTGGGCAGCAGTGCCAAGAGTGGAATGCCGAATGTGCCCATGGGTGAGGCTCTTTTGGCGTCGTTATGTTCACTGACCCTGTTCCCCTGGATGGAAGGATCCACGCCCAGTTGCTTGGGCTTGAGAGAAGCAGGATCCAGAATGGTGGGCCAGGGAATCGGCTCAGAGGGCAGAGCGCATGCTCTGTGAGCGGGAGCCAGTGTCCAAGCGCGGTTAGGAGCAGCTCCCCATCACTGAGTTAGAAGCGGCTTCGACTATTGCAGGGTGACCCCCACCACCCAAACAGACAGGCGGCAAAATCGGTGTGGTTGGGCTGGAGAGAGAATTCAGCAGGGAAGGCGCTGGCCTTGCACACGGCCAACCTGGGTTCCACCCCGGGCACCACTTAGGGTCTCCTTAGCCCCTCCAGGGGTGATTCAGCACCTCTACAGGCATGTCTGTGCCTGCAGGCGTGTCTGTGTGGAGGTGTGTCCGTGTGTACAGGCATGTTCATGTATGCAGGTGTGTCCATGGCCATTGTGTGGTGTTTCTAGCCTTCGTGCACACTATGGACTTGTATCATGGTCTTGCTTTGCTTGGCCCTCGCTGTTCTGTGACTCAGTTTCTTTACTTCTAAAAGCAAACCGTAACCTCTTGCTTCTACGGGGCGAGCAAGCGCCCACTCTGGGGGTTGTGGTTCATGCCGGGGTGCGGACCTACATCCGGAGGCCTCCCCGACTCTCTTTTGAGAGATAAGGGCTGCCTCCTGCCCCCTTCAGAGTGGAGCTTCCTGGGAGCCCTGAGGTGGGGGGTGACGGTGTGAGGGGCTGCAGGAACAAGGGTGACTGTGGGGAACCTGGCCAAGCCGGAAACTCCAGACTTGTGGGGTTAGACAATAGCACAGCAGTTGGGCACTTGCCTGTGACCAACTGGTGTCCCTGGCACCCCACAACCTTCCAGGTGTGATCTCTGAGGGCAGAGCCAGGAGTAAGCCCCAGCACCTCTGGGTGTGGCAAGGGAAACGAAAAAGCTCCAAACTTATTTAGCGTGGCCATTTTCATCCTTTGCTTTCTTGGACACCTGCTTTGGAGATAGAAGGCATTCAGGCCGTACCAGTGGTGCTCAGGGGCTATTCCTGCCTCTGTGCTTAAGAGTGATCCCTAGCTCGGTGCTCAAGACTGTATGTGGTCCTGGAGAATGGCTGGGTAAGCCCCATACAAGGCAAATGTTTTATACATCCCTCTATTGATTAATTTTTTTTTGGGGGGGGGTGATACTTGATACTTGGAGCCACATCCAACAGTACTGAAAGGCTGCTCCTGGCTCTGTGCTCAGGGGTGATGCTGGCAGTGCTCCTGTGAGGAGCCAGGTGAGCTGCATGCAAGGCAAGCACCATCCTGTTCTGTCCATTTTAGTCCTTTCAATTATTTTCAATATTCCCGCCCTTTTCTTTTTATTCTGTTCTGTTTTGTTGTTCTTGTGTGGTGGGGGCGAGTGAGGCCTTCCTGCTGCAGTGCTCAGGGGACCACGCAGAGCTGAGGGTGGATTCAGGTTCTGCAAAGCTTTTGCTCCAGCCCTCAAGCCATCTCCCCTGTTTAAAAAAAAAAATTGGGGCTGGAGTGATAGCACAGCTGGTAGGGCGTTTGCCTTGCAACCCAGCCAACCCGGGTTCGATTCCCAGCACCCCATAGGGTCCCTTGAGCACCACTAGGAATAAATCCTGAGTGCAGAGCCAGGAGTAAGCCCTGTGCATCACTGGGTGTGACTCAAAAAGCAAAAACTGTAAAAAAAAAAAAAAAACCAATTCAGGGGCTGGAACAATAGCACAGCGGGTAGGGCGTTTGCCTTGCAACGCAGCCGACCCGGGTTCGATTCCCAGCATGCCATATGGTCCCCTGAGCACCACCAGGAGTAAATCCTGAGTGCAGAGCCAGGAGTAACCCCTGTGCATCGCCAGGTGTGACCCGAAAAGAAAAAAAAAATTGCCACTCTCGTTCTCTGTCAAAAATCCTCTAGGCCCCCATGGACACCCACCGGCAGGATCAGGAGGCTCAACCCTGTGAGCGGGCACATTGCTTTGCTGCCTGGCATGGCTCCTCGCTGTTGGGGGCCGTGTCTGGATGCCCAGCTGTGGACCCTCAGATCAGGCAGGTGTGTGCCTCTGCAGCTGGGCACAGAGCGGGTGCCCCTGCACTGGGGGCTGCCGTAAGGAAACTGCAGAGAGACAGATATGGCAGGCACTGGGTTCTCATCCAGCCAGAGGCTGAAGTCCAGGTGCCCTGAGCACTGCCAGGTGTGGTCCACAACCAAAACCAAATCGAAATCCAAGATCATGGTATCGGTAGGACTGATTTTCTTTTCTTCTTTTCTTTTTTCTTCTTTCCCTTTTCTTCCTTCCTTTTCCTTTATTTTTCTTTCTTTTTTCTTTGTTTTTGGGTCACACCCAGTGATGCTCAGGGGTTACTCCTGGATCTACACTCAGGAATTACTCCCGGCGGAGCTTGGGGGGGCCATATGGGATGCCGGGAATGCTTGGGGGACCCTATGGGATGCCAGAGACTAAACTTGGGTCCTTCGCATGCAAGGCAAGTGCCCTACCTGTTACACTGTTGTTTTGGCCCTCCTGCCTGCCTTCCTTCCTTTTCTACTCCCTCCCTCTCTCCCTCCCTCCCTCTTCCCTCTCTCCCTCCCTCTCTTCCTTTCTTCTGCTTTTATTTAGTCACCGTGAGATTACAAAGTAATTCATGATTGGGTTTCAGGCACGCATCATTTGAACACCAGTCCTCTCTCCAGTGTCCTCTTCCCTCCAACACCCTGCGTCCCCGCCCCTCCACTTGCCTCCCACCCACCAGTCTCAGCAGGGCTGGTTTCTCTGGAGGCCTCCCTGAGGCCAGCACGGTGCCCCTCCCATGCCCTCCCCAGCCTGTCCTCTGCATGCACACCCCTGGTTACTCTCCCTCTCCTTGTTTTCCTTTGGTGGGGAGCCACACCGGGCAGTGCCCCAGGGGCTACACCAGCTCTGATTGGAGGGTCGCTCTCAGCAGTGCTGGGGGATTGGGTATCTCCGCGTGTGGAACTGGGGACTGAATCTGAGGCTCCGGATGCAGAACATGTGCTCCCGCCCGTTGAACCAGGTTTTCAGTTCATTTCATCCGCTGGATGAGAGGGCCAAAGAGAATAGAGCGCCATAGGCAGGGTGCTCCAGGATTGCCCCTGGCAGTGCCCCGGGGGACCCTGCAATGGGGGGGGGGGGGCGCCACATGCCAGGAAAGCCCCTTACCCCTGATCAGTCCCTCCACCACCCCTCCCTGCTCAAACCCCAGCAGCGGTATTGGACCAGGGCCGACCCTGATGCTGATGTCACCTCAGCATGTCCCCCCAAACTCTGTCTCCAGCCCGGCTCACGTGCTGAGGTTCCAGGCATTGGGACTGCAGCGCGGTGTGTGAGGCCGTGACTCAGCCCCTCGCCAGCCTCTGCTCAGAGCAGACGCCCTCAGCCCCTGCACCCTGTCTCCCCTCGGACCCCAGGGCCCGGCCCGGCACAGAGCCAGCAGACACCGCCTTCCTCCTGGAGCGCGTCTGCATCTCCGCCCCTTCCTCGGACCGGCCGTTCATCCGGGACCTGAGCCTGAAGGTCTCCGAGGGCCAGAGCCTGCTCATCACGGGGAACACGGGCACCGGCAAGACATCCCTGCTGCGCGTGCTGGGTGGCCTCTGGGCCAGCTCCCGGGGTGAGGGGGCGTGCACTCAGGGTCTCGTGGGGGGCGGGGCCGAGCGGCTGCTTCCCTTTCCGGGGAGATGCACAGCGGAGGTGTCTGGGGGTCTGCAGGGTCGGTGCAGATGCTGACGGACTTCGGGCCCCGGGGGGTGCTGTTCCTACCCCAGAAACCCTTCTTCACCGACGGGACCCTCCGGGAGCAGGTCAGTGGGTTCCAGGATCCCGTCTACCCCGCCCCTCCCCAACGGGGACCCCCTGACAATATCTTAGCTCAGCCTCGGGCGCTGCTGGGCAGGTGGTGAGGTCTGTCACCCAGTTCGTACCCAGGAACTGCCCCATGATAAGATCATTTGGTGGGCGGGGCCACACCTGATGAGACTCAGGTTACTCCTGGCTCCGCCCTTGGGAATCACTCCCAGCGGTGCTCCTGAGGGGGGTCATAAGGGATACCAGGAATCGAACACGGGTTCAGCTGTGTGCAAGGCAAATAAATGCCCAACCCGCTGTACTATTTCTCTGGTCCCTCTAAGAACATTTTATTTTATTTTTTGCTTTTCGGGTCACACCTGGCAATGCACAGAGGATACTCCTGACTCATACACTCAGGAATTACTCCTGGCAGTGCTCAGGGGACCATATGGGATGCTGGGAATCAAACCCGGGGCGGCCACATGCAAGGCAAACCCCCTACCTGCTGTGCTATCACTCCAGCCCTCTAAGAACATTTTAGGTCCAGAGAAATAGTACCATGTGTAAAGCGCTACTTTGCACACACAAAGGTTCCATCCTTGACACCCAGTATTGTCCCTATGCCTGGGAATAATCCCCTGAGCCCCACTGGATGGGGCCCCACAACAAAATCACTTTATTCACCAGGCCTGGGTGGGGGCTGGTGGCAGAGCACCCCTGGAGGCAGGTCACACTGTGGAGTCCCAGGCTGGATGTTCCTGGTGTTTCTTGGATTTTGGGAGTCCACCTTCTCACCTTCTCACACGGCAGTTGGATGGCGGGGCTTGGGAGAGGGGGGGGCCGTGGACCGTGTGCACCCTCGCGGGGTTTTTGTTCCTGCAGGTGATCTACCCGCTGAAGGAGATCTACCCTGACTCGGGTGAGCTGGCCTCCCGTCCCCTCCCCTGCTCAGCCTGACCCCCAGCAAGATCCCAAAAGAGCCTCACCCCCCCCCCCCCTCAGCTTTTGGCTCCAGGAGGTCCCTGACTTCCCCTCCCCACCCAGGAGTGGAAGGAGGGAGGTTCATCCTTGGAGGGCTGTGGTCCATCACTCCCCGGCTCTGACCCCAACCCGCCCCCTGCCAGACTGAGCCCAGTCTCCCTGGTGCTCCCACGGCACTGGCACTGCCTCTTGAAGAAGATCTCTCTTTCTGTTTTGCAGGTTCCATTGATGACGAGAGGATCATGAGGTTCTTAGAGTTGGCAGGTCTGGTAAGTGGGGGATTATTTCCATGCCCACCTGTTAGCCTCACTGCAGGGGGCCAGGAGCCCGCTGGGGTGTTGCCAGGAGCCGAACACCAGGGGGCGCCCCCTTCCAGCTGAATTGAAAGCAAGCGGACGAAAACAGGGGTTTTAGGGTTTGTTTTCTTTCTGGGGTGTGGGGGGGGCACAGCTGGCAGTGCCCAGAGGCTAGTCCTGGCTCTGTGCTTGGAGATCACTCCTGATGGTGCTCAGGGGACCCTTGCAGTGCCAGGGAGCCAGCCCAGGTCCCCTGCATGAGCCCTCTCTGCCCAGCCCTCTCTCTGCTCTTCCTCACCACTAAAGTTCAGAAGCTCTCAGAGTAGCCACGGGGAGAGGGGAGCGGGGGGGAGGGGGGTGCTTGCCGCCTTCTGTCATTGGCGTGGGCTGGGTAGGGACCTGAGGTCTCACAGGCTGGCGGGGTGGGAGGGCAACGCTGGGGCCTCTCATGGCTGTCCATCCCGCTGGGTGTGTTGCAGTCCAGCTTGGTGGCCAGGACGGAGGGTCTGGACCAGCCGGTCGACTGGAACTGGTAAGGAAGGGGTGGGGGGTGCTGCCACGCTGACCTCCTCGGGTAAGAGATGACCGTGTCTACTGTTCTCGTTGGCCCCAGAGCCCAGAGATGGTCCTGCCTGCTGGCCCCAGAGTCCACTCAGTTGTTAGCCAGCCCCTCTCCTGGCCTTTCAGGACCATCGGGCACAAGCCGTCTCCTTGTCTCCCCCCTCCCCCCGTGTCAGGTACGATGTTCTGTCCCCTGGGGAGATGCAGCGACTGTCCTTTGCCCGGCTGTTCTACCTTCAGCCCAAGTACGCAGGTGAGGTGTGGCCCCCCTCCCCACGGAAGGAAGGCGGGGCTGGGCCCCTCTGTGTCCCCCGAGCTGCAGCCCTGGTGTGTCCCTCAGCTGCATCGGTTCCTGCAGTGGGTGGGGCCTGCCTTGAGAGGACCCGGGCTTTTGACACCCTGGGACCAAGGTGTCCGTGAACTGGCATCTTGCCCAGTGGTGCCCGGTTAGGGCCGGTGGATGGGGACTCTCCAGGACCCGCCTGCCAGTGGCCGGGCCTGTGTCTCGGAGGCTGAGGGATGTTTGTCCTGCTGAGGGCAAGGGCTGCCCGCATGCAGCCTGGCCTTCTGCCCCTCTGGCCACCCTCCCCCGGGGCAGGGCTCCCGTGGGCAGCTCCCGGCCTCCCTTGGTGCCTACAGGGGTGAGGGTGCTCAGGAGGGGCAGGACTCAGCTCCCCTGGTGGGCTCTGCCCCCCAGTGCTGGACGAAGCCACCAGCGCGCTCACGGAGGAAGCGGAGAGTGAGCTTTACCGTGTCGGCCAGCAGCTGGGCATGACGTTCATCAGCGTGGGCCACCGGCGCAGCCTGGAGAAGGTACCTGCTGTCACCGCTATGGACCTGCGGGAGGGGGAGGAGGAGAGGAAGGAAGGTGACAGAGAGCCGGGGGAGGGGACGGGTGCTCGGGGCTGCCCCCCTGACCCCTGCCTGCTGTCCCCCTCTCTCCCAGTTCCACTCTTTGTGTCTGAAACTCTGTGGAGAAGGAAGGTGGGAACTGAGCAGAATCAAAGTGGAGTAACGCCCAGGAACGCCCATGGCTGCTGGAAGGAAACTGAGTTCAGGGCTGGAGCAGGTCCCTGCAGAGACCCAGGGAGAAGAACCAGGGCCCCGTTGCCCGCTGCTTGTGCAGAGGAAACCCTGCCCACCCTGGAACACTCAGGCCTGTTGGGGCTCCATGGCGTGCTGATCCCCAACACAGAACCTCACGGTGCTTTCTGAAGAGAATCCTGCCCCAGCAGAAGGGTCCAGGAGACGATGCTGGGCAAAGAGCTCGGGACCCCGGAATCACTTCAATCCACCCGATTTTGTGACTTTTCACTTTAACTGACCTCTTCAGCGTGGTAACTTTGTTTTTATCAGGGAAATCATTAAACAGGTGTTTTTCTGTAGCATTTCGCCTTTGGTCTCTTTCAGGCTTCTGTGTGTGAGTGTGTTTGGGAGCTACACCTGGCAGGCGTAGGGCTCAGGGCTGACTCCCAACTCTGTGCCTGGCAGTGCTCAGGGAACCATACGGAAAACGAACTTGGGTCAGCCGTGTATAAGGCAAATCCCCTCCCCTCTGTCCTACCTGGCCTTGTTCAGGACTCTCCACTGTGCTAGAATCTTCTCTCCAGATAGTTGCATTTCACATCTCTAACATTTGCCAGCTGTGCCCAACCCTCTCGTTGGGCTTTTTTTTTTTTCTGGGATGGGGGCCTCCCCAGCGGTGCTGGGGGTCCCAGGCATGTGCTCCTGGGTTCTAAACTCTCTCTCCAGTTCTTTTTATATATAATCTTAACCTCCAGGAAAATGAATCCCCTTCCCAAACAAGATGGTTTTTTCCAAAATTCACTGTTCACTATCCTCCCGTTGTTCATCGGTTTGCTCCAGTGGGCACCAGTAATGTCTCACAACAAATTCTGAGACTTGTTGTTACTGTTCCAGAATAGTTTATATTAAATAGCAACAAGTTGATCAGATAAAAACCCAAAGTGCAAAAGCATGAAGTGAAAAGTTGTGTTTGGAGCCAAAGTCCATACTGTAGGTTGTTTTTTTTTTTGTTTTGTTTTGGTGCGGGTGGGGATTAGGGATGTGACAGGGATTGAACACAGGGCCTCATACATGCAAGGCAAGTGCTGTACTGCTGAGCTGTATCTCCAGCAAGTCTGTGTTCTAATTTTACTACTGTGGTTTTGAAGCCACACCCAGTGACTGCTGGGTGGGGATGGCAAGCACCCCTTAGGGCTTAGTGCTTGGAGGGGGGGCTGGGGACCGAGCCTGGGACTCCCATGTACAGATGCATTTATTCCCACCTTCTGGGTCATCTCCCCAGCCCTGTATTGTAATTTTTGTTTTTATTTTTATTATTTGCTTTTTTTCGCATGGGTTTTTTTTTGGGGGGGGGGGTGGCTGGAGCGATAGCACAGCGGGTAGGGTGTTTGCCTTGCACGTGGCCAAGTTGGGTTCGATTCCTCTGTCCCTCTTGGAGAGCCCAGCAAGCTACCGAGAGTATCCTGCCCGCATGGCAGAGCCTGGCAAGCTCCCTGTGGCGTATTCAATATGCCAAACACAGTAACAAGTTTCACAATGGAGACGTTACTGGTGCCCATTTGAGCAAATCCATGAACAACGGGAGGACAGTGCTACAGTTCTTTTGGGGGGGCCACACCTGGCTGTGCTGAGGGTTACTCCTGGCTCAGTGCTTAGGAATCACTCCTGGGGGACTCGGGATATTGGGTCAGATGTCTGCAAGGCAAGCACCTTACCTGCTATACTATGGCTCTGGCCCCGATTTGTTTTGTTTGGGGGGCCACAACCAATGGTGTTCAGAGGTTACTTCTAGCTCTGTGCTCAGGGATCACTCCTGGTGGGACTTGGGACCGTATGGGGTGTCAGGTATCAAACCTGGGTCAGTCACATGCAAGGCACGTGCCCTTAGCCACTGTACTCTCTCCCCAGCCCCCATTCTCAAGTTCTTTTTTGTTTGGCGAGGGTTTGGTTTTGGGGTCTTGTTGGGGTCTCAGCAGCCAGCCTGAGACTTTGACCAAATCCCCTGTCCCTGAAAGCAAGAGGGGCCCAGGGGCTTGCTCCAACACTCCACACAGGTGGGCACTCTGGTTGAGGATGAAGGATGTAACAGTTACCATTTGCCTGAGCTGATACACCCAGTCCTGCGAGCCCGAGCGTAAATCATCAACATCTGTAAGGAGCCTGAAGAGGTCAATGTGATACCTGTGGACTGCCCCCTGAAATGTATGTATAAAAACCCCTGTGTGAGAGCTAATAAACGGATTGCTGATTAACCACCAGCTTTCTCCTTTCCACGTGGTTCTTTCTCTGAGGCGATTGGAGTCCGCTGTGCATGGAGGGCCAGGGCAGCGGCTTCTCTCCTGCCCACTCCCTCTCGTATAGGGAGTAAATCTGGCGACTCTGGGGGATCGTACTCCAGTGAACCGAAGTCGACTGTCCAGGACCCCGACATCGTCTCACCACCTGTGCTCAGACCTTCCTCCTGGCTCTGTGCTTGGAGATCACTGCAACAGGATTTAGGGGACCATGTGTGATGCCTGGGGTTGACCCAGAATCAGTCAGGTGCAAGGCCAGTGTCCTCCCTGCTGTGTGGTGCTGAGCCTCTTGGGGTCTAACTCTACTTATTTTTGGAAAGTTTCCCCCATCATGCTCCTTAGGTTCTTGCGAAGACCAGGGGTCATGTGCACACTAGGTTGTGGTGCTCAGGGGCGAAGAGGGGGACTGTACACTGGCCCACAGTGCTCAGCAGCCATGCAAGCCCTCTCGGGAGGGGGGGGTGTGGGGTCTCACTTTCTGGCACCGCCCCCCTCCCCCCCACACACACACACCGTCCCAGCAGGAAGGCCTGGTCTCAGGCTGGCTCTGCCCTCGGGAGAACTTCCCTTCTTCCAGCCCTGAGTGCAGCCAGCCAGAACAAAGAAGGGAAGGAAATGCAATCACTGCGTGTGTGGTTTCTCTTCCTAAACCACTGCACTGCTCGCCTGAGTGAAGGGGACAGATAGTGGGAGGGGCTGGAAGAGAACCGGTTGAGACAAGCACACAGCAAAGTGCAGAAGAGAAGCCCCACCAAAGGCGTGGGGGTGATCCTACGACATTGTAGCCTTGGAACTTCTGGGGATGTGGTAATCAGGCTGGGATTGGGGGGGGGGCGGGTCAGGAAGTGGATTTGTTTTCGGTTTTATTTTTGTTTGGGGGCCACATCTGTCAGCGCTCACAGCCTACTCCTGGCAGGGCTCAGGGGACCATGTATGGTGCGGGGGGGGGGGGGGGCGGGGGTTGGACCTGAGAAGGGTGCACACAAGGCAATGGCCTTCCCTTCTGTACTAGACTGCAAGGTTCTTGCTTGCGGGACTGTAGCCTTAGCATAGCGGTTAAAGCATTTGCCTTGCACGCGGCCAACTTGAGTTCAATCCCAGGCATCCCATTTGATCCCACAAAAACCACCAGAAGTATTTTCTGAGTGTAGAGCCAGGAGTAACCCCTGAGTATCGCTGGGTATCACGGTATCACTGTTATCCTGTTACTCATCAATTTGCTCGAGCAGGCATCAGTAAGTCTACATTTGTCCTAGCACTGAGATTTTAGCAGCCTCTCCTTACTCATCCTTCCAAACGGTGCCGCATTGGAGGCTCTTTCAGGGTCAGGAGAATGAGACACATCATTGTTATTGTTTTTGGCATATCAAATATGCCACGGGAGCTTGCCAGACTCTGCCGTGGAGAGTATCGCTGGGTGTGACCCAAAAACCAAAAAAGAAGACTCTCCTTTGCATCTTTCCTTCCTCCATGGGAGAGGTGCTCGAGCGGGCCCAGTAACGTCTCCATTGGAGACTTTGTTGTTACTGTGTCTGGCATATCGAATACTCTCGGTAGCTTGCCGGGCTCTCCGAGAGGGGGAGGTGCAGAACCCCCCACCTGTGCTGGTGGGCCCTGTGGCTGGGGAGGTGATGCATGGGCCCAGCGCAGCTCAGGGACCCCTGACCACCTGTCCTTCAGAGACTGTGCCTTATGCAGGAGACTGGCCAGTGTGAAGCGACTGAGGGGTTTCTTGAGCCCAGGGGTCCTCTCTGACCTCTGAGGCCCGCCAGAGGGCCCGCAGAGCTCTTTTATGGCCATCACTGTGTTTGAGTTGTAGGTTAAATGGTGCTCATATGCCGGTCGCAGGAGAGACTCAGAACCAGGGAGCCAGGGTGGGCTTCTCCCAGGGGTGCAGAGGACGATGTTCCTTACAGGAGCTGGCCACAGAAAGGTGGACGTGGCCTATTGTGGGGGACAGGAGGGAGGATGGAGATGGTAACTTTGGGACTTTGAGTCTGGGATGTTTTACTTGGGCCTGCAATGAGGAGGGTCCCCTCTGCCAGCTCCCGGAAGAAAGACAGTCCCCATGCCTCTGCTGCTGAATTCATACTCAGAGCCGACACTAGTAATTTATTTTTCTTTCCTTTTTTTTTCTTTTTATTGGGGGGAGTTGGGCAGAGAGGCACACCCACCAATGCTCAGAGCTTTCTCTTGGCTCTGTACTCAGGAATCACTCCTGGCAGTGCTCAGGGGACTGAATGGCATGATTCGGATTAAACCTTTGTTCACCACATACAAGGCAAGAGCCTACCTGTTTTTGGTATTATTCTGGCCCCAGACACTAGTCATTTCCATCTAAAAGTACCTCTGGGTTCCATCTTTTTTTTTTTTTTTTTTTTTTTTTTTGCCTTTTGGGTCACACCGACAATGCACAGGGGTTACTCCTGACTCAGCACTCAGGAATTACTCCTGGTGGTGCTGGGGGGACCATATGGGATGCTGGGGATCAAACCCGGGTTGGCCACGTGCAAGGCAAATGCCCTACCTGCTGTACTATTGGTCCGGCTTTGGGCTCCATTCTTATGCTCTGCAGACACGCGCGCGCGCGCACACACACACACACACACACACACACACACACACACACACACCTCTTGCCCACAGATGACTCCAGACCCCTCCCCGCTGATGTCAGATCCTATTTATTCTTACTTTGTATCTTTACAGAAAATGGCACAGAAATCACAGGTCTCAAATACCTAAGAAGTTCGTCTGGTTCCATCATCAAACACCTCACATCTGGTTTCCTTCTTTTCCTTCTCTGTACATTATTTACACTGTCCAGACGGGGCTGCCGTCTAACCCTTCAGACCAGCAGGGGACAAAGACAAGAATGGGAGCGGGGGGAGTGGGAGGTGTCCAGGGCTTCGACCAAGGAGGAATCAGCTTTTGGTGTGGACCCGGAAGCCACAGTCAGTGTCTCCAGCCTCCCTCTCACCCGCAGCCCCCCACAGCCGTGGGTGGGAGGATGGGGGGTAATGCCAGAGCACAGCTGCGGCCAGGAGCGGGACAGGCTCTCACCTCGCAACCAGGGAAGCCCACCCCCCCCCAACCCCCGGCCCTGAGCTGTGGGAGGCTGAACCTATTCTTCCTCCTGGGGCCTCCTTGAGACCCTAACTGCTGGCCTCTCAGGGGCCCGAGGTCTGCGGCTTCTGGCTGTTCTCTGCACACTGGTCTGGGTCACTCGAGGCAGGTGCACATGGGACCAGGCATTGGAGAAGCCTGGGGAGGGAGCGCACTGCCCGCCTGTCCTGGGGTGGGGGGTGGGGGAGGGAACAGGAGGCCTCTGGGGTCTGGATACTCAGAGCCCACAAGGGAAAGGGTTGTATGAGCCCTGGACAAGCCTCTGGGAGGGACGCCGCAGAGCGATGGTGCGTGGCCACATGCAGGGCTGGCTCTGCGTGTGTGCATGTATACGTGTGTGTGGGTGCGTGGGTGGGGGGGTGGTCAGGCCGGTTGTGGACAGGGGGGGTTCCTGAGGGGGACCTTGGGGAGCCCGCACTGGAGGATGGCCGGAAGCAGGCAGACACTTTCCAGGTTTCATGTGGGCTGCACGCATGAGGTGGGGGGGCAGGGGTCACACCTGCACCCAGCAGAGCCCCCCCGAACTGGGTCCCCCCAGGAAGGCACAGGCTGGGCGCAGAGCTTTGCTGAGGGTCTGGCACCCAGTGTGGCCTGTGGGAGGGGGCTGAGGAGCCAGGCCAGGGGCTGCGATGTGGGTCAGCACTGGACGGGGCAGGGGGCAGCAGAGGTTTTCGAGGGGGCAAGCCGGCCAGGGAGACTCGGTAGGGGACATTCCGGCACAGCCCAAAGCCTCGGCCAGAGCCAAGTTGTGTCTGAATGTCTGAAGTCGCCGCCTGGAGGGCCCACGGGACTGGGGCAGGGCGGCGGAGGCCACACCGGACCTCAGAGGTCCCCAGGACACGGGCGAGGAGCAGAGTCCCGGGCCTAAGCCACATCCTCTAGCGGCGCCGCGCTGGGTTCCAAGGGCCTGTCCTCGTCCAAAGCCTCCTCCTCTTCGGGCTCCCCGGGGGGCCCCGGCACAGTCCCCAGCACCTTGGTGCTGTGCTCCTGAGCCCTGGCCCGGAGGGCCGCGATGCTGTTCTCCCTCAGTTCCTCCTGGGACATGGCCGCTGGGGGCTCAGCGCCCCGCTCCTCCGCCTCCAGCTTGTCCAGCTTGGGCAGCGCCTGGCGCTCCGCCTCGGGCTTCCTCCCCGACTCGGCCGCGGCCTCCAGCGACTTTTTGTGCATCCCTAAAAAGAATTGTTGGTATTCGGGTTTAGAAAAGCGCCTGGGAAAGCCATCTTGAACTGAAAACGGCAAAGATAGAGAGAGGCCAGAATTAAGGACGGTAGAAACCTTCCTGCCCATCCCAAGGTCGCGCGTCCCGGGAGGGGGCGGGGCAGGGGGGTGGGAGAGGGGCGGGAGGGGTGCAATCCAGCAGTAGGGCCCAGGCCTGCAGGGGGTCCCTCTAAGTCAAGCTCCTGGGACCTGGAGTTCTGTTTCTCTCCTTGAGCACAGCATTTATTCCCCCTCTCCCTGCTGGGACCCCCCAGATCTTAGCACCACCGCCCCCCAAAACAAATGGGCATGGCTTATCAGACATGTCCCCTAAATGACAGGAGCTTTAGGGAGAAGTCCTTGGGGCTAAGCCAGCATAGTGGCCAAAGGGACCCAGGGTCCCCTGAGCGCCCAGGCAGGGCCATTGCACTCGCACAAGCCCACTTCTGGCCAGGCCAGGGGCGAGGCCACTACACCTGGGCCTCCTGCCTCAGCCCCTGCAGCTCACCTAGGACGCAGGGACAGACGCAGGCCAGCTGGGAGGGAGGGTTTCTGCTCTGGAGGGAGGGGTGCGGGGAGGAGGGGGTGGGAGCCCGCTCTCCTGCCCAGGGAGGGCGCGGGCTCTTACCCAGCAGCCAGGGCGCGCAGGAGTCCATGATGCCGTCCTTGGCCGACTTGAGGATGGACTCGGGCAGCGGGATGGAGTGGCGCACCATGGCCCCGTACAGCCCGTACTCGGCCATCACGCTGCTCCGGCCCCAGCACTTCTCCCGCTTCCTCCACTTGGCCCTCCGGTTCTGGAACCAGACCTGCAGGAGCAGACCCGCGGGGTCGGTGAGCGAGGCCCCCGCCCGGTGTGTGTGTGGGGGGGTGTAGGACAGGCTTTTGGTTTTGGGGCCACCCGAGTTCAACCCCCCGCATCCCATGTGGTCCCCTGAGCACGGTCAGGAGTCATTCCTGAGCATTGCCAGGTGTGGCCCAAAAACCAAAATAAAGAGGGTTCTAGGCCGAAAGGGGCCACAGGCATAAGGGGTTCCAGGCTTAGGTAACCCGCCCTTACCCTGTAAAAGCATTTCTACCTTCCTTGGATCAAAAAAGATTCCATCATGGGTAGCCTGGACATTCCATACTGACCAGTTAGGACATTCCTACCTGGACATTCCATTCCCTGAGGGCGGAGAGAGACTATGGAGGTGGGGGAAGGTGCTTGCTTTGCACACAGCTGATTACAGTTCAATCCCCAGGACCCCAGATGGTCCCCTGAGCACCACCTGGAGTGATCACTGAGCATGGGGGCAGGAGTAAGCCCCCCAAACACAGCTGGATGTGGTCCCCTCTTTCCAGCCAAATAAAATAGGGGCAGAGAGGCCCTGCCAAGGTTAGGAAGGCACGTAGCTATGACTGCAACCCAGGTTCCAATTCCAAAACTGCATATGGACCCCGGAGCTCCCGGAGCCAGGTACGACCCCAAAAAGAACTGAAAATGGACTAATTCCTACAGGGACAGAGTGAAAACCCAAGGAATGTAAGAGTATCCACCTGAGGCAGGGGTCTTTCAAAGTTGTCAGCACCCCCTTCCTTGTGGCTGCTGGGGTTTCCCCGGGGAACTCACCTAAACCCAATCGCCTTGGGGATTCAGGCAGCCCTTGAGACACCCCCGACCCCTGCCCCCCAGCCCTGGGAGCTCCCTTCCAGACCTGGACCTCCAGTGATTGACAGCGGAAAGCTCTGTCTGAGCTGTGGAAGGACTTATGGGACTCACTCCTTCCCAGGGACCCAAGGATGCGTGTGTATGTGTGTATGCATGTGCTTGTGTGGACGCCCTCATGTACACGTGTGTGCGTGCACCTCTGCTGAGACCACTTCATCCAGCTCTAGAAAGCCCCGCATCAGGGTCCCCAGTTCCAGAGTTCTCTCCAGGGCCTGGAGCAAGTGGGAGTTCAGCTGCAGAGGGGGACACCTGGGAATGTTCTGGCCCATGGTGCAGGGTCTGGAAACACGCGGCGCCCACGGGCTGACTGCCCACACCAGCCCCTCTTTAGAGGAGCTCAGGGCTCCTGCCCTGCGCGGGGCACGACTTATTCTTGGGGCTGCCAGGCAGGGAGTGCAGTGGCCAGCAGGAGCCTGCGCCCCTGGAAGCGAAGGGCCTGGCAGGGAACCGGTGGTGGGCGCTGGGAAGGCCCCTTGGGTCCCCTCGCAGCCCCCCGGGGCTTCTGATCCCTGGGGGTCCGCGGTAGTGGGGGCTTGCAGTGGGGGGGGGGGGGAACCTATTCGTTTCCTCTGCGATTTCTAGTCCCTAGGCCCGGGCGCCCCCACCCCTTCCCCGCGGGCCCCTCCCCCGCCCCGCGCCGGAGGTTTCAGCTTTTGATGAAAAATTGCTCCAGCTCTATTCAGGAGGCGGCAAAAGAAGAGTCACCCCCAGGGGCAGCCCTGGGCTGATTGAAAAATAAGTTAATTTCAGTTTGAATCGATGGGCCTCAGGCACTGAAATATCACGGGAAATTAAAGCGGCTGCTCTCCCGGGAGCCGCGGCATTGACCCGCGCTAATTAATGCTGGGGAGGCCGCGCGGGCCGCGCCGAGCGCCGCCCCCTCCCCGGGGGACCCCCAGCACTTCTCATTTAACTAATTAGACGGGCAAAATTGGGTGTTAATTTGTTTAGGATTTTTCCCCCTTCTTCCCCCCCACCCCCAGCCCCCACCCCGCCCAGCCGCTCCTTCCCCGCCAGTCCCCGCCCGGCGCGGGGGCGCGGGAAATGAATGCGGGGCTCGCCGGCAGATGGCTGCCCCGGTCACTCTGCAATCTTCTCCGACTTGATTGCTTGATTAGGTCGTTAGCACATTAAAAAAAAAAAATTGCTTGCCGTCTGGCGCTGGCGTGATGAGTGGGACGCGCGGCAGCGCCTGGGTAATTTATCTTTTTATACGGCAAAGAATTTGATTTCAATCTGCAGATATATGGGGCGCCTTTGACACCTGTTTAACATCGCGCCGCTGACAGCTTAACCCTTTGCTGCCTCCGCCGCCGACTGGAGGCCCAGGCGGGGGGCGGGGGGTGGGGAGGGGACCCTCCTCGGGGGACGATGAGTGCAGGAGCACCTCCCAGCACTTCCCTCCGCGGCCGCCAGAGGGCGGAGTGAGCGGCCGGCGGCCGCTCCCTGTCTGGGCGGAGCGTGTCCAGCAGAGGGCGCCCCTGGCCTCTCAGCCCGGCATCCCCGAGACACTTGCTGCCCAAGGATGCTTACGGTGGTCGCCTGCCCACTCCGCCGGCTGCAGAAAGCCCGCGCGGTCCATGCATACCTTTAAATACCCAGGTATGTATGACCCTTTTGGCATTTCTTCATTTGTAAATGGCACCAACTTCTCTCCACCCCCCAAACCCCTATTAGACTTTAGAAAATGACCGATCACCCCACTTTGGGGTGGGGAATGCATCTTGGCACCACAGACGCCCTCCTGCCAGCCGGGAGGTCAGGGTGCAAGGCCTCTCCCCTGTCTGGACACAGCACCCAGAGGTGCGGGCACCCCCGCGCCCCACCTCCCTGACCCTAAAGAGGGTTTCTGCAGTTTGAGGCTTCCTGGTGCCGTGCCCTGGCCTCGCGGTGGCGCGCTGTCGCCAGTGCTGTCCAGGGCAGCTCCTGAAACCTCCATCCTGTCCCGTCCCACTGTGCGTGGCCTCATCACTGGGTCGCCCTCTCCTAGTTGCCTCCGGAGAGAAACTGACAAGCCACCCATAGACCTGTGAGATCAGGCTTCCAGCACCGCCCTGTCCCCCAGAAGCCTGCCAAGATCAGTTCCTTGGTGGTGGAATCCAGGAACCAAGTCTGGCCAAGTGGAAGGGAATTCTTTATGAATCCAAAAGTCAGCCACATGTGGAGCCCCTACTTCCTGGTAGGATCCATGCTTTGGTTTTTGGATTTGTTTTGTTTTGTTTTGGGCTTTTTGGGTCACACCCGGCGATGCTCAGGGCGTTAGTCCTGGCTCTGCACTCAAGAATCACTCCTGGTGGTGCTCGGGGGACCATATGGTATGCTAGGACCCAACCTGGGTTTGCTGTGTGCAAATCAAACTCCCTGTCCACTGTACTATCTCTCCAGCCCAAATATATATATATATATATAATATATCCGGCCCCTATATATATAAGGGCCGGAGAGATAGTACAGTGGGCATACATATATATGTATATATGTATATATATATATATATATATATGAACTGTCCTCCCATTTTTCATCGAATTTGCTCAAGCGGGCCCAGTAACGTCTCCATTGTGAGACTTGTTATTACTGTGTGTGTGTGTGTGTGTGTGTGTGTATATATATATATATATATCTTACTCTTTTTGGGTCACACTCGGCGATGCACAGGGGTTACTCCTGGCTCATGCACTCAGGAATTACTCCTGGTGGTGCTCAGGGGACCATATGGGATGCTGAGAATTAAACTTGATCGGCCAAGTGCAAGACGAATGCCCTACCTTCTGTCTGTTGCTCTGGCCCCAATCCATACTTTGTAAAACAAAAACAAAAACAACACCACCTGAGGACTCAAGTGATAGGACAGTGGGTCGGGCTTGGATTCACTCTGCAGCACCCCCATGCCCCACCAGGACTGATTTTTTGAGCACAGAATCAGGAGTCGGCCTTGAACCCCACCAGATGTGCTCCCTCCCCTGCAAAAAAAAACAAAAAAAAAAACAAAAATAAGACAACAGTGGGCAACAAGGGTGCAGATCAGTGTTGAGCTCATGCACTCACTGCCTGTGTGAGGCCTCAGCACCTTTCACAGGAACTCCTGCAGCCAGATTCCAGAATGTTCTGGATTTTAGAAAGAATCGGTGTGCACATACCACATGTCCCTAACCTCGGCAGCTACTGAAACAGAAGCCAGCCATGCTCTTGATTTCTTCAGTCAAATGGACACGGGCCCACACTCAGAGAGCCAAAGAGTATAAGGAGGGGGCAGGGGTCAGGGCTACAGAACAGTGGGGTGGGCACTTGCCTTGCCTGTGGCTGGCTGGGGTTGATCCCCCACATCCCATATGGTCTTTCCAACCCACCAGGAGATTCTTGAGTGTGTATATGCCCTGAGCATCGCTGGGGGTGGCCCAAAGACAATGCAAAAAAAAGAGTATAATAAGGTCAGAACAATAAGGTCAGAGTATAATAAGGCCAGAACTCTTTGGTTGGGGCCAGAGCGATAGCCCAGTGGGGAGGGCATTTGCCTTGTACACAGCCAACCTGGGTTTCATCCCTGACACCCCATATGGTCCCCTGAGCACCGCCAGGAGTAATTCCTGAGTGCAGAGTCAGGAGTAACCCCTGAGCATCGCTGGGTGTGACCCAAAAAGCCAAAAAACAAAACAAACAAAAAAAAGAAAAGAAAAGAAAACCACCTCATTGGTTTGGCAGCGTGAGTTTTGATGGAAAACTAACAAACTGTCCATTTTCAGCCTGGGTTAGATTTAGGAGTTTTAGAAAAGGGATTGCGTGCAAAGGCAGAAAACCAAAGACCACACACATAAACACACACACAAATACCCATACTAGTGTCAATAACTGGGTATGGTCTTGGCCTCTGCAGGACCCGTGAATGTCTAGAAACAGTTTGTTTTTATATGGTTTGGATTCGGGGGTTTTGGGCGATGCCCAAGAGTGCTCAGAGCTTACTGCTGTAAGCGCCCTACCTGCTGCACTATTGCTCTGGCCCTTGTTTTTATTCTGATTTTTTTTTCACAGTTTTGGGGAAAACTGGGTGGGCCTCACATATACATACATGGCAAATGCTCTGTCACTGAGCCACATCCC